TTGATAACAACTAATTATGTAGCCACAATGGCCTGATACTGTGGTAGATTTCTTATAATAACTTGAATACATGTTTTCGATTTGGAAATTTTGTGTATTTTTTTGTATCAGTCAAGGTAAATGTTTTGTAATATGAAATAATTCATGGAGTACACTTAATATGAATTCGTAATCCATGTTTTAAATGTAATTAGAGAAGTAGGCGTTGATGGCAGATCCTTTTGTAAGATATGTTTCACCATGCATGATAATGTATTCTGGTAAATTTCATCTACGGTGATATTCATGGATCTCAATAAATAGCAAAATACATGTTTCTCATCTATTCTTTTTATTTCAACTATCAATTCAATTCAAATAAAAACATTGAACAGACACCAACAAACCTAAACATGATGAACCTTTAAAATTGCTTAGAAAAAAAAAAAAAAAAAAACACGCATGCAAGTTAAAATGAAGCACTCAGAACTAAATTTTATTTGTTTACATTGTCATTTTGGTGGTGGAACATACACACTTGTACGTTCTTTTAGGAGCCTGGATGCAAAGATTTTGCTGTTACAGTACTGATACATGTAGAACCAGAGTGCAACTTGAATACTCGGCCCTGAGTCTGCCTACTGTGTGATATCCATATTGAATGCTACATGTATATCATTCCTCAACCAATATAATTTGGGAAGGTGACTTCAATTCGAAAAACTAAGGCCCTCTGTTAAAATATATGATAATTCGATTAATACATGATGATACAATCCGTATCACATGCTGTATCACCTTCGACCAATATCATCTATCGGGCCTTCTGCCCTCTGGCTGATATTGGTTACTCGGTTTGATTCAGCATGCGATACGAATTTTACCATGTATTATTCTCTATTTATTTGACGTGTATAGAAATAATATTGTCAAACTCATATTCAAGTGAAATTCGTTTGGAACAACATTTTTCATTAGACACTGACAAATATTTTTTAGGGTTAGATTTCAAATTCTACCAGTCCGTAAATAAGGAAAGTCACCATTTTGAATTCATATTTTTTATCTTTTTTTTTTTGGTTGGTAATTTCTCAAAAAATAAAAAAAAAGTCACAATTTGTGCCTCAAAATCTTCTTTTTGTCAATATCTAAACCATTCAGATCAGCACATCTAGTGTTTATGTCTGACACCGGTCGTATACCTATGACGTCACATTGTTTAGATGCTAGAGACGATGTAACAGTTTCACGGACTTTTTCATTTATGGCATTTTTAAGCCAAAATATTTACTAAAATGGAATTTATTTTAATATGTGGCATAAAAATGGAGATAACTATGTATTTTAAGCTTGGCCTTAATAAAACGTAGATTTTCATGCATATATAGAGGGAAATAGTTCATTTGCGTTGATACTTAAGTAGTTCAAAAATGTCTTGTTCCTTAGCCCAAACCATCATTATTGCAATGATTCCTTTGTCATATTAGAGACATCCGGTCTTTCAACATAATACATTTTATACTTTACGGAAGTTGTAATGGCCGGGTTGCGGAATATGATTCAAGTTGAATTGTCTCCAATTAAACAGACATGAATCACTGCTAAAATATGGAGATGTGGTATATATGATTCCCTATGAGACAATTATCCACCAGAGATCAAATAACGTTGATGTTTTTCAACCGAAAGCAATTAATCTATTTTCATTAGAAAAATAATTTTCTCCTAGCTACCGACCTGATACTTGTACCAACCAAGGAAGTAAAAGTGTATGCCTCACGTATGTGACTGACCATGAATTATTTCTATATTCAATAAAAACAAACACGGGTGACCATAACAAGAGACTGTCTAGTGCAACATCTTCAAAGTTTATTATACATGTGTATACAACATAAACAAAATGGATTTCCCCAATTGTATAACCTCAAATGGCATAAGCTTCAATCAAATTGCGTGCAATCTACAAAAAAAAACCAGAAAGAACACAATTAAAATACGAATATAGAATAAAGCACAAAATGTTGTACACAGTAACTTCTTCTTGACTGTTGCATAGTTTTCGCCCTTGTCGATTTTTTTTACTTAAAAGATGTACAGTGCTATATTGTTATAAAAATTATCCCGCGTTTTATGATCGGACAACCATGCGTCTATCGTACATTTATATATTTTACATCGAAGATACTTAAGTAAAGTAAAAACTATGTTGCAAATGTGGACGTTTCTATTAAATATTGTTCTGAAAAAAAATATCATAGAAACATTCGAAATGGACAAATATATGAATTGAAGAAAATAACGCGGAAAACTTTATTGAAAGTTTGTTTTGTTGTGCACTTCATGTATTTGGTGCAGTTATTCTGTCCACGTTCATTTGTTCCGTCTAAAAGAAGTTTCCCTGAAATCTTTGTTAAAATCAATGCTATAATTTCTGTTTCTATTGGAATACATATGATATAACCTTAGTTCATGAATGGTTCCAATGGAAATACTATTCCATAGATATAAGAAGATGTGGTATGAGTGCCAATGAGACAAATCTCCATCTAAGTCAAAATTTATTAGGGTAAACCATTATATAATTTTCGCATTGCACGGGAAAATTTGTGGATATCCACGTGCATTTTTGTTAAACAGATATTTCTTCCATGTGGAAGAAGTAAAATAAATAATTTCTATTTCATAACTTTTCATCTCCAATTACAATTATAGTGATTTAATTTCAATGAGACTAATACAAGAGATGCATTCGTGTTTTGGCAAATTCATAACTAAAAGAAAAGATAATTATAGATTATTTTGTATGCTGGGTAATGAAGTACCTTAAAGAAAATCGAATCTTGTGCTTTTTTAAATGCTTCATTGAAAAACTATGTCCATTATATAATAACCGTATTTTCATTTATCAAATCTCGTGCGGTAAAACTGCAAAAGATATTGTTTGCAGAAACTGCTGTTAAATTTAAATTGCACTTTTTCTATAATTTGGTACTTTTTGAAAACCACAAACTTCACATCTGTATTTAAAGGTACATGAAAGCTGTAATTATGTGTACATCTTTATGAGAAATTTCGTGTAGTGTGCTTCTGAAACAGTGCAACGCTTTTTTTAACCTTGCTGATACTCTTATTGGTGATTGCACAAGTTTTACAGTTAAAATTAAAACATCAAAACAAAAACCTGATCTACAACTTCAATGTATGAAACATACTTTTGAACATTTAAACTATGCCTTTAATTTTTACACTATAAACCCCGTTTTCTAGGTAAGTACTTATTAATCCCTTTAATGATTGTATAGATCTAAAATTTTCAATATGTTAGAAGCATCAATCAGTTTCTGAAAATTCTTAAATATCATTTGTATACATTCATGAAAATACTAACAAAAAGATGATGAACTATCTGTTTATTTTGGACCATTTGTGTGCGATAAGGCCTACCAGCTACACTAGCAACATGTTTTCATAATCTTAGATCTTAAGATACCAGTATAATCGTCTTGTTTGTAATTTGTTTATGAATAGGTGTGAGTTCGGATGACGGGTAATGCATGCGAAGCAGGACACTCTTACCCTTTAGACGCACCTGGTTTCAATTCTTTTGTGTGATTTCCTCATTTTTTGTTTGTTACCCTGGTATATATGTCTCTTCCTAATTGATTTACGAGATTTGAACATCTATAAACTACTCCCGCAATCTACAAAATTAAATCTTAGACATGTTATTCCATTTCTAAATTATATGAGATTAAATAAATATATCAAAAGATTTATAATGTTCATTATCTTACCTCCTATACATTTCTAGGAATATGATTGGTTAAGAGCAACCGTGTGGAGACCATGTATATATTTCATATGGGGTTAATAGGCGTGGTTTATTTCAATGCACGGTTAGTAGTGGTGTGACGTCCATTTGTAAAAAAAGTACGGTGTTGAGGGAAAATCTGAAAGGCTTCAACAGACGAAGAAGTTGATGATGAACGATTGAAATAAACGCAGAAAAAAAAAACATTAAAAGCTAACAAGTTGTTATTTTTGGCATTTGTTTTGTATAGACCAATGGAAGTAGGTTTTTAAATATTGACGACTTGATCACTTTGATAGGTCACTAGTCTATGTAACTAATAATATCTGTAACCCAATATTAAAATGATTTTTTGTCGGCTACACATTGGACGTTGACTTTAAAACTTGAAAAGAATGATACCTTTTGTACACTGGGGGAGTAATGGATAAAAAATTGATGACTACATTTAGCTGATTATGATTAAGATTCGTGATATTAATTGGAATATGGCAGTTGCATTTGCCTGAAAAAAGACGAAATGTTTTTATATTGTATAACTTTGCTCAACATTTTTCTAATACTGTGTACTTTCTAATTATCAGTCTGCTTATGTTTTATTTATATGCATACTGAAAATATGCATGAAAGCACTGGAGCTGTCAGTGGTTACAAGCATCATGTATTATTTCTAATGAAGTCCAGCATGCCCTTCTTTCTAATTAGATTGTTGGTTGCTATTTAAGGGGGTACCGAACATTTTGACTGAAATACATTTGGCTCGTTTAATTTTCATAAAGTTGTGACAAAATATTTACTTTGACCTGTTGACAAAAATATCAAAATTTCAAGAAATTTGAACCACGCAATTTACAGGAATAATTTCATTGGATACATAGCAGTTTGACAAACACTAATTTTGATCATTAAGCAGCTTGGGTTTCTCTACTAAAAGTATGCGATGAAAACGTTCAGCTGATTTTTAAAGAGAAAACCCCCTTAAATGTTCTGTACCCCCTTATTTCTGAAACTCGATACTAAATGAATGTGTTTTGTATTTGAAAAGATAAAAAAGGGACAATTAAAGATTATAATTGAAAAAAAAACAAACCCCGACAAAAGTCATATGCTTGAGAAGGGCCATGCCCATCTGTTATTGCTCCACTCATTACACATCCAGTGATGAATTCTGCTTTAAAGACATATTGTTGTTTGTATGTTTGTTCTGCATAAAGAATGACTACCATAACCACTTGTCATCTAATCAAATAAATTTTAATATGATGTTCTACTTTTATAAGCAATCCTGTACCAACATTTACCTTGTCAATTTTTGTTATTTCAGTTCTCCATACCATACTTTAATTTTTATTAGCTTAGCCTGTTGAAAAAATTGTTACACCATGATGTATTCTAAATAAGCATCAATAATTATAAAACGTATAGCATGCATAAGGTCTAAATGTTTTATTCCATATGAAATGGTTATGTTCTGGTTTGCTGTCATAGAATATGTTACTTTTATTAATGTAAAATGCAACTATTCTATCATCATGTGAATACATTTCTTTTAAACTGAGTTTTACTGTGCGTATTGCTATGTGTTTCTTTATTCTACATTGGCTAGAGGTATAGGGGGAGAGTTGAGAGCTCACAAAACATGTTTAACCCCGCCGCATTTTTGCGCCTGTCCCAAGTCAGAAGCCTCTGGCCTTTGTTAGTCTAGTATGTTTTTTAATTTTAGTTCATGTATATGTTTTGGAGTTTAGTGTGACGTCCATTTTCACTGAACTAGCACACAATTCTATTTAGGGGCCAGCTGAGGACCACCTCCGGGTGCGGGATTTTCTCGCTGCATTGAAGACCCATTGGTGGCCTTCGGCTGTTGTCTTCTATTTGGTCGGGTTGTTGTCTCTTTGACATGTTCCCCATTTCCATTCTCAATTTTACTTAATGAAATGCTTAATTGCCTAAATCAATGCTTTGCAGTATACACGAAATAGTTGTGATTAAGAAATCCTGTATGTAAAAATATTGTTCTGAGAAATGAAATGGATTTATAACTGTGTATGTATCCTTTATTTACGTGTGTAGAAGTTATTCAAGAAAGTTATGCAGTTCCGAATTGTAATACCATTTGTTAAATTTCGGCCTTTTATACCATTCTGAATGCATAGATTTTGTATTTCTATCCATTACCAATTTAAGATATTTTTCACACAAATTCTTCACTTTAAGCACTATTTAATCAAAAGGATCTCATAAAGCTTTTAGTATCTGCCAGAATATTCAACCAACCCTATGACTAATGGGTATTCGGAGTAGCTGCAGCTGGTGCATAATTTGCATCTTATACCAGAATATTCAACCAACCATAATTTGCATCTTATACATGTAATACGTGTGCTTGTATTTGGAACGAAATTCTTCCCAAAAAAACGTAACTGTTGTTACTGGTTTTGTGTTTGTTTTTGTTGCGCACGTTTGTCATACACTTATCAAGGAATTACCCTTAACCCGGAAATTAACCTTTATCCCATTAACCTTAACCAGGGAACAAACATATTCTGTAATATTTTGTCGACAAAGTAAAATTTGTAAAGTATATTTTCAGTAGATTTATAGTAAACTAATACACTAAATTCATTGGGTTCTGGGTGTGTACTGATTGATATCTTAGTCTTAGATGCTTGATTTTTTAATTAGTTGTTATTGGCTTTTAACTAGCTACCAGTAAATGCGAGTACTTTCATTTCTGTATTTAGTGTTCTTTTGTTGTGGGGATGTATAAGTACCCTACTTTGTCCACTCTGTGTTTTTGTTAGATGTATTTCTGGTTTGTGTCAATATGATGAGTTAAGTCATTTTCAACTGATTTTTATAGTTTATTTTTATGTTGTACTGTTACGACACTGTCCCAGGTTAGGGGAGGGTTAATGCATTTAAACAAGTTTAAGCCCGCCACATTCTGGATGTGTCTTTCCCAAGTCAAGTCAGGAGCAGGGAGATTTTGAAAATTAGCATCTTGGCCTGGTAAGAGCCGATAATAAATATATCGACATTTGCGGACCTTTAAATTGGAGAAGAATTATTTCAATACTTGGACAATAATTATTTCCATGCCTTTGCTTTGAATTATTCAAAAAGAGGGCAATTATAAAGTATAAGATTTATATAAGTATACGGAACTTTAACCTATCAGATTTTTTTTTGGAATGCACAGGTATTTAGGAATCATCAAAAGATAACCTATGAAAGAAAGTTTGAATGTTTGAAACACGATGCTAGATAAGGTCGTTAATGGCTCTTCATTTACTTGATTTGTTTGAAGGATTTATTAATTTTGTAATGGTTGGTTCAGTTGCATATACTGCTTATTTCGATGTATTAAAACAAACAAAGGGGGATAAAAAGCGCTGGTTACTATATAGTTTTATTTTGTAAACACTGATAGTGTTTCTAAAGATGAAAAAACACGTTTTTGATTTAAAAGAATCAGTTAAATTTGTAAACTCAAATTATAGATTTATTCAGCAGAAAAAAAAAGATATACTAGTAGCCTATTATCCTATCTATATTTACTTGTAAAACAAAAACCATAATCATATGAATGATATTAAAACGAAGTTATCAATATATTATGTGGATCAAGAGTTATCTTCCTTTGTATACTGTATTTTCTGACGCTCCCACTTATATCATTGTATTGTCTGTATTTGTAACTTGATTGATATGCTTGATTAGGAAATAAAAATATTCTATTTCATCTATTCTAGTATGAGCTTAACAGTTCGGTTTTTTAATACGAACAAGCTCAAAGCAATCGCATCAGCTCTTTTTTATGTACTAAATACACGATGTACTCCCTACATAATATTATGAAATCCAGAAAAAAAAACTAAATATCAGTTATATTTTAATCTGATTTGTGTTAATGCTTGTATGGTGTACAATATTTGAAACAGTACTTTCCGAATGAAACATTATTACAAATATTTAATCACTTGCAAAATTGAATTATCGAATATATTGTATTGAAGGGTCACCTGTTATAATTTTTTTACAAAAGTATGCACAATCTATTCTCTAATCAACAATTAATAAAGTATTTATTTACAATTTTGTTTTTATCCTCTCACTTAAACACCCTTGCAAAATAAAATTCTCATCCCCTTGTCATACATGTATAAATGTTCAAAACTATAGATTTAATGAGTTCATAGGTTTAGAACACTTATCTATCTAAACCTAAGATATCTTGTTGTTTGTTATTTGTTGCACTTTTGTGTTCTGTTATTTTGTTGTTTTCCTCTTATAGTTGATGTGTTTCCCTCCCTGTTTTAGTTTGTAACCCGGATTTGTTTTCTCTCAATCGATTTATGACTTTTGAACAGCGGTATACTACTGTTGCCTTTATTTACGATTTTTTCTTCCTCGACTCATCTTTTCACTTGAACCCTCACAATGTATTTTCAATATTTGAGAAAATGTCAAAGTAATCAAATAGGGTAACTTAGGTCATGATTGGAGCGGTATACATTGATAAAATGTTTCTTGTTTATCCCTTATTCTTTAGATTTAATTATTTTAACATGAGTGAATTTTATATGCTAAAAAGATGTTGGCATTTCACATGCACTATGATGATCAGAATTGTGAATTAAAAAATGTGAATTTCACCAATTAAAAGAATGGCCACAAACGATTAATACATGCCATTTCTTTTTCATTTCTGTGAGTTTGACATTTTTCATCAGAAACAATAAAAAAAAATAATAAACAGCATAAATATTGTTAAAATCTTCATCTTGATAACGGACTTCGGAAAATTGCGCGAACTAGTCTAAGAGCTGGTTTCTACGGGGTAAAAGATACATGGGAGATACTATTTAAAATCTCGACAGCTAGGATTCATATTTCAGTATTTAAGTAAATGAAATTGTAACTAAATTAAAAGTAAATGCATAAAAATACAATTCATCAACACAACTGACAATCTCAAATAACAGAAACTTGTAGGTATATATTTTTGAAAAAAATGAAATTGTCTTGATAAGAGTATTTTATAAGAATAACTTATCAGACTAAATGTAATTCCCACATAAGTGTATGACAAATGTTTCAGAGTTGTTCGTGCTAAGACATGAACTACGTTACTCAAACAGTAAATTGTACTCTACATATATCTCCTGTGTCATCAATTAATCCTTGGCTTTAAAATTTTTTGATTCAAGATTCACTGATGCATATTGATCCATGTCGATGTGGGTGCATCAAATGTATCAAGTGTTATTTTATTTTCTCATTTAAATGCATTTTGACACGTACTTCACTTGTCATATAATACCTGTTGACCAATTAATCTTACCGAACTGAAATAAGTTATGATAAATAATAAAACCAAACAAACAAAAAACGTGCAAACAGATGAAATGGTATCAGTGGCTGAAACATGGCTCAAATTCCTTCTGTAGTGCCAACTATAACATCACAGCAGTTTTATCTTATACATTTAGATATCCAGGTATAAACAGACAATCTTCCATTATTTGTTTTATCTATACTGTGTTTCACAGTTATCCATTGATGTTTGTGTATCATGTACATCCAACCATTTTCAATGTGTGACTTTTTTTCTTTGTGATATTCGTAAATTTTCGCTTGTGTTTATTAGTCTCCCTCCTTTGTTTATTTTTATTATTATCTTACCTGTAATATGTCCATTTGCCAGTTCCATTACTTTGCTGAAGATATGTTGCAAAACAATGAAATGAGTCAGTTGTAGAGTAAATTAAAATATTACACTCTATCAGGAAACTCATATCAGTGAGAAAGCATTGTTAAAAATTGCAGACTTGAGCAGTTTTGCTGTTTCATCAATCGTGTTATCTTTTGTGCAATCTGAAAATTAAACAACGAAGTAAAGATATAAAAACAAATATGCAAATACAGTATCAAACATTTATTTTGAATTTGTTGTAGATTTTTGCTGATGTCATCAACAGAAACCAAATATACATTTTTATGCATTTAATTAAAGCATGTCGTTGAATATCACTAAGCATTAGAAAAAGTTGGTGCCCTTGCCTTTGACTTTGAGTGTCCCTGATGAAGGAGACACATAAAAAATGTTCAATCGCTTAAGTGAACTAGTGATGATTTCTGTACCCTCTTTGTGACAAAATCTGTTGGAATTTTGTGTCTTCAATTCGCTGTAATTTCATACTTTATTTGGATTTTCAGTTATGTTAATTCGAACGTCATTGATGAGTCTTTTGTAGACATAACATGCGTCTAACGTACATAAATATCAGCCTGATATCTTTGATAAGTTTTCTTACAGTAACACAAACACAGAACAAAATATAAATCTAGACGCCTTATAATGAGTCAAATAACTCTGATAAAAAGTTAACCATATTGCTATATAGAATGGTTAGTTAGAACAGGCACTGAAAATCATTTTTCATCTTAACATTTTTGAAAATATGTTAATACTGTCGACATTTCTTTTTCCATTTTCATGTATTGTTCACTTTATCAAGTCAATAAAGACTGATAAAGGCCAATTGTTCAAACAAATTCTGTCATTTCAACACATAAATCCAATTCCCCCAAATCCAAACATGAAAATATTTGACACGAAAAAAGTTTAGACAGTAAACCATCTTTTTACCCATGACATGTGAATCTCTCAAAAATAAATTGATAAGGAAAAAACAACAAAGATACAAACAATATATTAAAATCAAAACAGATACTGATATATGTTTTCTTATACCGAAGTGTTATTTTCAATTCAATAATTTATTCCTTTGGTGATAGAGAATGGAACTGGTAATATATTTTGAGCCGAATTATCATTTTTTCAAAATTGTGTGTAACATGGTTTAAAGAGGGTATATATTCATTGAGGAATACTACAAGTTTGTTCACGTATCAAACCAATGTCAGGGCATAAACGTGTTTCTAGAATATCTTGAAATGCATCAAATAAGCTACGAGCACAAAATAAGTGAAACAAACAAATATGAAAACAACACTCTATTAATTTCAAGCGTCCGACGCTCTCGTATTCTGGATTTACCTGTCAGAAGGTAACATTTTTCCGATGGAGTTGAGACCAAAGCACTGACTACTGAGATGTTTATACCCTCGGGAACTGATAATCCACCAGCAGCGGAATCGACCCAGTGCTGTAAAAAACGAAAACAACACTCTTTAAATTACGAGTCACGTAAATCACTTTTCTGGATTTATCTTCATCAGAAACGATATAAAGAAAGAGAACGAATATTTTGACAGAGCTTAACACATGTAACAATTAATAGGCCAATATGAAAATCGTCTGTGGTTGGTTCGGTAGTTTGTTTAATTAGAAATTTTCATGTTTTAATTATATTTTAACTGCCATAATTGCTAAAATGAGAAAATCCGCCATAACTTGTGTTTTACCCAATGTGTGTGACGTAAAATATATGTGAGGTCAAACTACCGGACACTACAAAAAATGGCGTAATGATTTAACGGAAAGCTTTATTGTAAAAGATATATACATCCAATGACAAGGCTTGTGTACACTGTTAAAATTAAGGTACAAATAAACATCCTCCCGATAAATGTTTTCTAGTCAGTTTAACCCAACGAAGAAAGAAAACATACATGAAAATAAATGATCTCTGTGATAACATATGCAATAAACTGATGACTTTTAATAAATATTCCTGGCTATCTGAACAGATTTATATTTACTTCTTTGTGTTGCTATCTTCTGTTGAATGTCTTTTGAACCCATATCCTGTTATGGTCAAATCATATAAGTTCATTAATGAAAAATATCACAAATACATGAGCAATTTTTTTCTAATTTGAAGAAAAATGCATATCTTTATATCTTTGTCCTTATTTTTCTTTAGCTTCGTAAGTAACTATCCAAATCTTTGATCTTCTGCCTACCTTTAAAAATATCTTTGTTGAAACTGGGCAAAATTATAAACGTTTGGAAAGGGACCACTGGCAATTTCAATTTAATACCTTCACTGGGTTTGAATATTATCGAAATACATTTTCACATCGATGATATAACGATAGAAAAAAGATAAATACAATCAGGTAGTTGCATTTACTTTTCAGGCAAGTAATCTTACATTAAATCTATGAAGTATACCATCATTGGTTTTCTTAAGGTGAGGTAAGTCCATTCGTATTGTGTTTTCTTATTGAGAAGTAAAAATAAATATAAACCATCGGTTTAAGAATAATAACTTGCATCATTAGTTTTATTGACAACAATGAAATTTTCTACATTGTTAATAAAAAATTTTATGTTTTATACCAGAGAGCATCTGTCGGTTCCACAGCTCCCCTATGTAAGCAACAGTCAAAAATGCTTTTTAAAGAGGACTCAAAATTTAAACATGTTAAAATGTTAAAAAAAAATTTAAACTTGGGTTAAATTGGTGTCTGCCTGAATTCCATTGATTTCATATCTTATAGTATTATAATAAAATACAAAATAGATTAGTTCTTACTATGTCTTAGTAACGTTTGTTTTAAATTAAGTCCTTCAAATCAGTTATCCTAAAAACTTGTTATAGAAGATTTAACATATATGATGCATGTATGCATTATCTATTTGTTCGCCAACTTATTAAAACAGAAAATGATATGAAAAATTAGATTTGTTCCTGTAAATATATGTTATTGGTCAAAGAAATAAGAAACCAATTGAGAATTGTTTTCCGTTCAAATCGATAAACTTTTTTTAGTGCAACATTTATAAATTGATAAAGAAATATCTGTTGTTTTCTTTATTCTTTAACATTTTGTCTGCATTGATATTAAATGGATGATTTTTGTTTTAATACAGTCTTTTGAAGATTGCTAAATTAAAAAAAAAATAAAAAAATCCTTTTATATCTTTTTCAAATATGGCAAAGATTTTATACAAAAAAAAAAGAAACACACATTTTTAATGTATTTGTCATAGATTCTTCCGCCTTTTTATAAATTACACTGTAAATTTATGTATTCATTAACACTGCTATCAATTTTCTCTAACATGTTCTGGGCAGATAAAATAACACTGGTATTTACTGCATTACAATGTTCATGTGTTAATGACTTTAACGTGTTGTAGGTCTGAACTGCCCATGACACTTAATCTGTTAATGTAACATTTAATGTGTTGATAATCGATGAAGTGTTAAAAATGTAACACCTTCTTTTAATTAATTTATAATTAAACAAATTTGTACACGAAAAAAAAGAAACGTAGGTTATATTACAAGCACATAGCAATCCTTTGACAGAAAAAAGCAAAATGACATTTTTGGTCCTTTACTACGAGTGACAGAGCCAATATTTAACACTAGCATTTTTGATAGCTTGCTATGAAATCTTGCAAAAGAGCTATATAAAATAACTAATTAACAAAATAGATAAGTTCTTACTATGTCTTTGTAGATGTTGTGGTAATTCGAGTCATTCAAATTATTCATCCTTAACACTTGTAACAGAAGATTTAACATATGTGATACATTTACTCATTAACTATTTGTTGGCTAAATTTTTAAAACAGAAATTGATATAAAAAATAGATTTGGTCCTGCATATATATGTTATTGGTCATAAAAATAAGGAAACAATTGAGAATTGTTTCCGTTCAAATCAATATACCTTTTTTAGGTGCAATATTTGTAAATTAATAAAAAAAATATGTTTTTTCTTCTTTCTTTAACATTTGTCTGCATTAATATGTAATGGATGATTTTTGTTTTAATACAGTCTTTTGAAGATAGATAAATAAAAAACCTCATCCTTTTATTTCTTTATCAAACGTTGCAAAACTATGAATTTACGTCCTTAAAAGATTGTGTTGCACTTTACACAGATGTCTTTTATTTTAGATGAAATGTTTTTTTCTTTCTTCTTTTCTTCTTATTAAACAACTTTGTAAATGAATAGACAGAAACGTAGGTATTATGACAAACACTGAGAAACCCTTTTACTAAAACAGGCAAAATGACATTTTGGTCCTTTAATATGAGTGTCAGAGCCAATATTTAAAACTTGCATTTTTGATAGCTTGCTATGAAATCTTGCAAAAGAGCTGTATAAAACAGTTAATTAGAATAAGCCTTAATTTTATTGCGTTTGTCCTCGCTTTTTATTCCCTATGATGGATATATAGCCCATTTTGCTTCTTCCTAATGTTCCTTATATAAAATCTTTGCATGTCTATTATATGTATACAGTACTATCTAGGACATGTTCTGATAAATTGTGGCCAAACAATTTATGTCCACCATGTCGGCCCTAAATGTCCTTCATTATACCACCAGTGGGTTGATTAATACACACGGTATTACCAAAAATCAAATCACCAGTGAAGGAAACTGCTGATTGCCTTTTTGGAAAAAACTCAAAAAGTTTTCAGGTAATATTGTTCATGTTGTTTTCCAGGTAACTTTTGTGTTAGCGTTTTGATGGAATTTGTGCATTTAATTTAAAAAAAAGAGCATGCGATTTAATTAAGTAGAAATGATCACTTAGAACCTATAGTCGAATAAGTTGAACATTGCTAAATATGTCAATATTTAAAATATAGTGTCCTGATCTCAGTTTCAATATAGCTTTAGGAATGAAATTGTTGTTTTATTTGACTGTGAATTGTTATATGATTGTAAGGAAAACATGACGTCACAATATAAATAAAAAAATAATAGTATATTTGTTGAATTAAATTTTAAGAAATTAACTATGTTTTTTCTTTCTTTTCCCATTAGACATTGAGTAAAATATTTTATATTTTTTTTTAAATTTTTCTTCTATTCCTTTAGAATTTTCAATATTGAACTTTTATTAGTAACGTAACTCAATATTAATTTAAAACACAGTTTTTTTAGATCAACAATCTATTTATTTGGATACTTTTTAAAGTGTTATATTTTGTCCAGAAAGTAGACAGTTGGAAGGAAATGTAAGGGGTAAATAAGTCAGTTAAATAGTGATATAAGTCTCTTGTGTATTGCTGTGAAAGGTTGAGATCTTCATTGACAATTTGTGTCTGTTTTACACAAAAATCAGGTAAAGTTTATTATTTGCAATAAACAATCAATGAAATAAAACAAAACACTAATCATTTTTCCTTTGTTGAACAGAAATAAGATTTTGGCATTTTCAAAATTAAATGAAAGTTTTATATTACTTTACTTTTATCAGATTTATGCAACTCTGTCCTACTTAGTCCTTTGCGAAAAAAATAAATAAACATGCTTCAATGTATTTAGACTGCATTACGTGGGAAGTATTAATAAACACATCAACAAGAAAAAATAGAATTCACTACATCGTCATTAATCCATATAACCAGTTTTTTACCTAATGAATGATGAAAAGCCTCTATCTCAATGACGAACATTTATTAACATGTAGATTATTGGAAAGGGAAAAGAACAATTTACTTGTACAGGTTTTGATACCATTTACACACCTGACTACCTAACAGATAGATATTCGTGCATCTCAACAGCCTAATTAGTTTGACCACTAGTCCATTCTTTATAACCCCCAAATAAATGGTTAACATCTTATCATTTATCACCCCCAATAAATGGCAACCATTTGATGGCGACCATACTAGGAGGTGGCCTGTACATTTGTCAGAGTATGTCACGGGTTGTACTGTATATTCCTGAAAGTGTACAAAACAGCATTATTAAAACAAAGGAAACATTAAATGTAATTATCTATAAATATTTCGGATAACAGATATCCTTCATCAATATGATTATGATGTAAAATAAATCATAGCCATCTATTCTGATTTAACTATAACAATATAGTTATAACAAATTATTTGTATTTTCAATGTGAAATAATCAATTCCCCCTCACTTCCTAAATGGTTGTGATTTACACGAATAAATCTAGTGAGGTTTCTTATCCGTAATACTTTGATCCCAATATAATGGTATTACAACAATTAACAAGCAAACAATATCCATTGAGAAAAAAAAATAAATAAATAAATAAAAATGAATACGGACGCTTCCTTTTGATATGATGTAATTGAATTTTTAAAAAACTATTAATTTTAGAACAATTCAATTCATCAACTGTTGTTGTACGCTTATGTTACAATTCGATGATATGTAGAAAAATCTTCAAAA